CCCTGCGGCTCGTCGATTCAGGAAGTGTGGGTGGTTCGTTGCAATTTCCCATACATAGGATTTGCATTACCAGAGCAGGAAGCAGCTTAGGATGTCCTGTACACTACTATCAACTAACCAACGTACTCCTTACTTCCTACGTAGTAATTTCTTTTGCCGTGGGATACTATCGATAGCCTGGGGAAGAGACGGGAGTTGGGATTGTCATACTCATATCGCCAGATGAGTAGTAGGTGATGGGGTCCGGTGTCTATCTTGTGCTGGGTGCTTATCATTCGATCGTCGTCCCTGCCAACGCCCCCTTTCCCCCCTCCTCCGATGGCGTCTTTATCGATAAGTGTTTAACATTACCAGGTTGCGCCAAGAGAGGGAGATGAGGTGCTCGCGTCGTGGGCTTCAATTACCGGATCTCTGCGGCCTGATTGTGCCCTTGGATGGTATGGGTGAGGCACGGGCCGTGGAAAGGAGATGGAATTGATGAAAGTCGCTCATCCCACCGGGTCAATGATCTGATCACCGGGCTCCATGTTTCGTTGTCTTATCGAGTTAATCATGGGGGCATTATGCGAAGAGAGGCCCCGATAACGCCATATTGAAACCGTACTTAATCTACTTGAGATGGTAGTCGAGGCTGATCATGTACTCATGCATCTCCCTCTCTTCTTTACTTGTGACAATCTTACCTGCGGGGAACGCCTTGGATGATCGATAAGTTAGTGGTAACGAGTAGATGAGCACGGCATGTGAGTAGCTGCCTCAGGCATCCATCCGCAAACCCACCCGACAGCTCATCGATGCCTGAGGCTGGGGATCGTGCAGGATATGGAATTCTGCACGTGATCGGCCGCGATCAACAAGTCCGATGCACCTTTGCCCCAGCACCACACCAGCTCGTCCGGACGATTCATCGGCACACGCGCGTGAAACCTCCGGAAGATACGATGGTGCTAGAACTCCATGTTTGGGGGCCGGCATTCTCCCTGCCGTCCATCGATGCGCAATGTCTGGCGACCATTGCCTATCTGTCTCTCGCCCTACCCAAGGACGCGTGGGTGCTCGTCGCAAGTAGCGATCCCTCGGTGTCTCCAACAAGTGAGTCGTCCGGGCTTCCCCCAAGGCCTCAAAGATTTCGAGAGGACTTCACTAAAATATTGCTTGTCGCAAATAGATGAACTCCCTGCCCTTCGAAACGGCATCACCTGGGTCTCCCGCTTCCGCAACATAGTCGACTATCTCCGCCAATACTCCGCGGGCGATTGGGATCTGGATGCCGAATTGACCGGACTCGATCGCGCGGACAGTATCGCGTACGTTTTGATCCCCACCCCTCACCACCTGACCAAAACTCTGAAGCGCGAATAGACTCACCTCCTTCCTCGACACGCAATTCCCCCCTCTCCTCGCCCTCTCCCTCTACGTCACCAGCCAGAACTACTACAACTCCGTCCTCCCCGCCTACTCCTCGCAGATCCTCACCTGGCCCTCGACCTGGCTCATCCCCCCGCAGATCCGCGCCGCCGCCAAGCGCGCCTCTGACCACCTCGGCCTCTCGTCGCTGGACCTGGTTGCCCTGGAGGAGGACCGCAAGCGCGAACACTCGGCCGCCGTCGCCGCGGGGCGCCTTCCGGCCTCCCTCCCGCTCCCCAAAGCCGCCCCCACGATCACCTCGGGCCTGGCCACGACCCACCGCTTCCGCATGGAGGCGGTCACAGCGGCGGCCTTCGAGCCCCTCGCGGCGATGCTGCAACCGGCCCAGAAGAACTACCTGCTCGGCGGGGACCGCCCCACGAGCGTCGACTGTCTCCTGCTCGGGTACGGGAGCCTCGCGGCGCTGGGGCCGGAGAGTCTGCAGGAGGCGTGGCTCGGGGAGGCGCTGCGGCAGAAGGCGCCGCGGGTGGTGGAGTGGGTGCGGCGCATGCAGCGCGAGGCCGGGCTGGCCAGCCTACCGTGGCGGAAGCCCGAGCGACCCCGCTGGGTCACGGTGGGCAACACCCTGTGGAACACGGTGGCGGACGCGACGCCCATCTGGCGGGATATCCGCGCCAACACCCGCATGCGCGAGATCGCGCACTCCCAGGAGGCGGATCTGTCCGGGGAGGAGCGCACCGCGTTGGCCGAGTATGTCACGGGGTATAAGAAGGATGTCTGGTTGTCGGTGGCGGTGGTCGTGGGCGGGGTGGCGGCGCTGGTGGGTTATATGGCGCATGTGGGGTTGTTGGGCGGTGGGGAGGGGAATGAGGAATTTGAGGAGGACGAAGACGAGGAGGTGGAGGTGGTGCAGCCTGAGTTGCCGGTGAGTCTGAATGCGACGGACTTCTTGGGGTCGTTGTCGTTCTAGTGAGGGGTGGGTTGTGCTGTGTACATGTACGATAGTTTGGTTGATCGATCTAGAATCGAATCGAGTCACCGTTCGAGTGGATTTTATGATGCCTGGTTCTTGTACGAGACAGTCATGCACACCAGGGTGGACGGCTTCTCCCGGTAAAGGGTGCACTTGCACTGCCTGTACAGCCTGGAGTGCGTAGAGACACGCCGCATTTGGACAGACCACCACTGCCATCAGTCCAGCTCTGATCTATCGGCTTGCTAGTATGTATCTAGCATGGATACCATCCAACGAACCGATCTAATGCTCATAGCGAGCACACTTCGTATCAGCCACGAAGTACATGAGGACATAACTCGCAAGCCATCGATATACTGCATGACCTCGCTGATAAACCTTCTTATCCACCACCTCTCCTTCTCTGTCCCATCCAGCACGGGGGAATAGATACATCGAGATCATCCCAATGCAGTAGCAGACTAGAACCCAATACCCCCGGTAGGGTCAGACCCCACCGCCCCCGAGTAACCGAACGTGTATCTTTATCTCCAGAATACCCAAATCTAAACAGAACCATACGTCCACAACCCCAACTAATAGGAAGTAGTAGTAGTACAGGGCACCAAGGAAGCAACCTCCCTATCACACCACCAACCACAGTAAACTCAACTGTACAGTGGAACTCCACCCCTCCCCCTTCTCCCCTCACCCCTCTCCCACACCATATACTATACCATGTACCATATACCATATACCCGCCCCATCCCCCTCAATCAACAACTTGGAAAGAAAACCCAGACCCAGACCGCAAACCTCTTATGAAAACCCACGAACCAACTCCGCCACCACGCGCACCGTCTCGGCAATGCGCTCCTCCCCCACAAACGGCGCACAATGACCACACTCGATCTCGCGGACGACCCACTCCCGCCCCGTCGCCGCCATCATCGCATACTGCGCCTCGCGGGGCACGGCGCGGTCCGCGGCCGTGACCACAAACGCCAACCCGGTCGTCTGTGTCTCTGCCTCCGCCTCCGCCTCCGCCCACGCCGGCGCCGGCTGCGGGGAGGTAAACGCCCGGGTCGCGTGCGGCCGGAGATACGTCTCGAGAGCTGCCTCAGAGAGAATCCCCCGGGCCTCAGGCAGGAAATTCCCCACCGGGTCGTCGGGGTAGTTGAGTTGCGGGGCGGGCTGGTTCCCCGTCGTGAGGGTGGTGTTAGCCACTTTCCCATCGAACTCCCTCCCTCTCCATCCAGAAAGATAGTCTCAGGGTTGGCTGGGGCTGGGGCTGGGGCTTGGGGATTCCGGGTTGACGCACCGTATCCAACAGAATCCACGGGGGCAGCGCACCGCCCTGCAACCCGGCACAGCTCACCCCCTCGGGCACGAGAAACGCCGCCACGAAGATCATGCCCACCACGCCGCCGGGCTTTCCGGCCCGGTGGCGCGCGGCTTTGCTCAGCCCGGACGCCGCGGCCGCGCCTGGCATCCCGGCGTAGGAGTGCATTATGAGGATGACCTCGCGGGCTTGGGATTCGATGAGCGTGAGGAGGCGGGTGCGGATGGCGGTTGTGTCGGTTTGGACGTCGGCGGTTGCGGCGGCTGTTGCTGGGTCCCCCGGGTTGGGGTTGGGGTTGGGGTTGGGGTCCAGGGACGGGTAGGGGATGTGCTCGACGGGGAGGGCGGTGGTTTCGGTCAGGGTGGAGAGGAAGGGTTCGTAGAAGGCCGGGGTGAGCCAGGCGCCGGGGATGAAGGCTATTATTGGGGACATTTTGGGAGGGGGTTCTTCGGGTGTGGATGTATTGGGTGTTGTGTCTGGTCTGGTCTGGCTATTGTGATGAGGAACTGGGATGCTGCTTTTTCCAAGGTGGGAGGGAGACTGGTGGGAGTATGATATGTGAGGGTTGGAGAGGGGGAGGGTTACTGTACTGTACTCGGTGAGTATGATAAGAGTGATGCGGGGTCTTGGAGAAGGGGAATTGGGCTTGGTCGATGGTTTATGTATGTGATACTGGTAGCGTAGTGGAGTGTGGATGGGGCTGTAGGCCCTACCCTAGTGCTAACTACCCCCTCGCTCTCTAGGTGCAGCCTATGATCATGATATCGGTAGCTTGGGGATGATGTACAGTAGTTAGCTGAGATGGTCTAAATTCGACCCCCACAGCTTAGCTTCATTCCTTAGTCTGGTTGGTTTTTACGGTTCGGGAATCGTGCTTACGGCGTCGGCCATGGCTGCTGGGCTCCCCTGCCAATGGTAGAGGTTTGTCTATTGTGCGTGGGGGAGCTTGAGGGTTGCTTGGTTAAAGGAGTTGTCTACTTGAGATGCAGTGTGGAAGGGGGTTTGGGGAGAGAGGGAGAAAGAGGCGGGGAGGGTTCATTTCAATACCCGAATCAGTTACTTAGCGACTAGTATGACAACACCCATCTTTGCAGAGTCAGTTCATATTGTAGAAAGTAGTACAATACAGTAATATCACAACCCGAAATCAGCATATGATACAGATCCATCCCCTTATCGAAACAGAGTCCAGTGACCAGCTAAATAGCGATTGACAGCATCCCGTCATGTCAGACAGAACAGGTATAGTACATCGTAGGGTAGGTTGTGTTGGTTGTATGCGACCAGCGCTGTTGTTGTTGTTGTTGTTGTTGTTGCTGCTGCTGCACCTCGACAATCGCAGACTGTCATGAGTACTGCATGCAGCAGGCAGTTGCGGCATTCGTGCTTCCGCATAGGCGAAATGCAGAAGCGAGCAAATAAAGGAGTGACATGACATGACATGATGCGGCGTGAGATGGCATAATCGAAACAGAACTCCCCAAAGTCCAGTAGGAAACACCTAACACCAAAACTAGCAAAAAGGACAGCGAAAAGAAATCAAGAACAAGATGTCGAGGTAGCCACGGGCACACGGCCTAGGGAAGATAGCCCTAGTTCTAGAAGGTTGCTGACAGACAAGGGTCGCACCCGGGCAACCCCCTCGCAAGCGATGTTCTGGAGCAAAACACCAAAACCCGAGATATGGCACAAGTAATGTACAGTACAGCAGCAAAAGAAATAATGAAACATGCAGGCGATTGTCCGGAACAACAATTCCAAAGTGAACGGACGGCCATAAACAGCGGAGATCGAAGGCGACAGACACAATGCACCATGATCAAGGGGGCGGGTGCATAGTTGCGGTGACGAAGAGTCCAGAATGGCGAGAGTAAGCATCATCGGTCGGTCGAGAACGAAACAGACGCCGTCGATCGGTCCGCCTCACTTTGTGGGAGATTGAAGCCGCGCGGATAATCCGCGGTCCCGGCGACAAATTGCCCAGGCCTAACCCTCCAGCAAGCTAACTGCCCAGCAGTGCTTCGGAGGAGGCTGTTCTTTGTCCCGAGGTACATGAGACGATGCTTTCACTTCCACCGTTGCTTATCCCAGTCGGAAGGTCTCGTCTCATCGTAGATTTGTCCTCCCTGGTTGTGAATGATGACGGGAGCTTGTGTTCGACGGGGACCAGCATGCGAGCCTAATTCGGGGGCTTGGTGGTTAGTTCTCGATGCAAGAAGAGCAACGGAGATAAGATCTCGACATACCTCGCATGTCCGTCACCACAACACCGTTCCTGCTGCTGCCACTGCTGGACAGAGAGGAGGTCGAGTCGCTGACTTTGTGAGGCATTTTTTTGGAATTGGAATTGTACACGAGATTGAATTTGGGAGAAGTGAATGAAGTGATTGGAGTGGATAGTATAAGAAGTGGAGGGTTGAAGTGGAAGTACTGGGAGATATATGTACGCTGGTTGATCTGTGGCTGAGCAAGGCACAATAACCAGGAGAACGATGAGGCGCACGCAGGTAGGGAGATCACAAGGTAGTGAAGGATAAGAGATAGAGCGAAGAGAAACTCAGAAGTGATGTAGTTTGCTGTAGATGTAGTGTAGTGTAGTAAATAGCTGTAGTAGTTGGTTGAAAAAACAAGACGGATGAAAGGCAGGACAATGGGGGCCTTTTGTATGTTTCCCTCCCCACGGTAGCAGAAGAAGTATAAGTGATCGGGAAATAGACAGAAACCAATCTGGACTGGGGGCCTGGAGCAATGCCAAAAACGGATCCCAATCGAATCTCGAATCGTTTCCCCCGGGTTTTACGAACCCAGGAAGAAATGGCAGCAGATCGGTCATCTTGCAGAGCGACTAGTAGGAAGAAGCTCCGGGCCCGCCTGGCCTGCTCCATCGCCCATCATCCTCCATCCATGCTGTATGCACTGTATCTACGCTTTACGAAGCATCGTCGATCCCCAGTCCCCAATCCAGACGTCATGACCCGAAACCAACCAACAGAGAATCGGATGTCTGGAATCCCCATCGAAGCGTCCAGGCTCCACCGTGCTGCCTGCCCAGGCTGCCAGGGGCAAACCGAGCCCGAATGGGGACGAGGCAGCAAACCGGATGATTCGTCACTTGAAGCACCCGGCGAAAGGGCGGTTTCAGGGACCGACCCATTGGGTTCGACAGCTAACCTAAGCATAGCCCAGGAGGTGAGTAGGAGTAAGTGAGAGTGAGCCTTATTGCCCGGGCACCAGCCACACTTGTGTTAGACAGGAAACCTGAGCACCGCCTGATTCTGAGTTGAACATATTTCGTAACTACCCCCTTTTGCTACCCAGTGCCAGTGCCTGGGCCTAGAGAGGCTGCTGTGGCGCGGATGGAGGCTGAGACAGTCTGCTGTCCAACAGATAACGTTACTGTATGAACTGGGTCCAGGGTGAGGTGCTGGTCTGGAGTCTCGCCTTACCTGTCGTGGTCACGGGAGGGCGACCAACCCCAGCAGATGACCGTATATAACAGACAGAGAGACAATATGATCGGTGCTGGCGATGTATTCCAGCCGTCAATTACAGCTCATAACAGCCACTTTCTCGGTCACGTGACCGAAGAGACAGTCGCAGAGCAACTGGCCGTTTAGTCAGACTCCCACCCCGACCAAAATAGTAACACCGCCTTCCGGATACCTACCTACCTACCTACCTGCCCAGTAGTTTGGCCAGCTTCACATCGCATCATCAGAATCATCATCATGATTATCCCCATCTCCACGGCTGATGCTACCCAGCTACCTGAGTGACGGTGAAGGGATCGTCGTCCCCTCCCATCTCCCAGACAATTGACAATAGTGATGCTGTTCTCATACAATTGCCGCGGGCCTTTTGACCCGGATACCTCAACCAGGTCTGGCAGCCGTGCGCCCATTCTAGCTTTCCATAGTTTGCGCGATTATCACCTGCTTCGTACTCATAGTTTCGGAGTCCAAGCTACTATCTGATTATTCGGTCATCTTCCCAAACGGGCTACATCGCTGGTGGCCATACTCTGCAATACTGGAAAGGACCATTGGAAAGGTCCGGTGCAAACCGAACGTTAATGCTACTTCTCCAACGGGCTGGCCGTTTCTGCGGTGTAGCGTGCAATGTATGTACAGCACTTGTACCACCTTACCTTGCAGTCGCCAGAAATTGAATACTTAGTGCTATCATACAATAGAACCAAGCTAGCCACCAGCACGGGAAGACATACACATAGGTTAGACCAGCTAGCTAGCTAGCTCAGTAGCTCAAGCTAGCAAGCTACGCAGCACCTCCCCTCCCCGCCCCCATTGCTCTGAAGGTGTACCTAAAATAGGCCTCGAAACCCAACCGGGCCCGCGCCATAGACAACCAGACCTAGACTAAGTGCTGTACTGTACAGTACAGCTTCGCCTAGCTAATACTCTCTGAGCAACGCGAATCATGACGACCCTGGAGCACGTACGGTACTTTGGGTGGTTGGAGGGGATCAAGAAGAGCCCGGGCCTGATTCATACTAACTAGTAGTTGGTTAGTAGCCATGCCTCCTACAAAGTCACTACGACTCGATATCAGATGATCCCATGCCCCCATGCCATGCCCCTCGGGCCTTCCTCCCCTATGTGATCTCACCGCTATCTTGACGGACGCTAACTTATGCTATGCCCACGCTTTTGTCCGGGACAAGACGGAGGTCATCCCTGCTTGCTCCGGACTTCGAGTCTTGCGCAGTGTACTCCGTAGAGATGAACGTATCTTTGTCCGCGTAAGTTGGGACCAACTAACGAACTACTACCCCGACCCAGGGACGGAACCCTCGACACCGCCAGATGGGAGGGAAAACAGCCCGTGCCCCGGGGCTGGCATATCATTGACCAAGATGGAGGCAGGGACGTGTCACAGCTCCTGATTGATGCTGTAAGGTTGATAGATGGTAGATGGGTCGGGAAAGAAAGAAAGACAGGTCCCCCCCCTGCGCAACTGCCAACTGTACCTGCGTTCAAGATTGTTTTTCCCCAATGCTGAATGGAATGGAAACGGACGGGATTATCTAATTCCTGAGTCATCGGGACCACTTCAACTCCAGGCTCCGGCCGGGCTAGACTCGAAAGGGGTTGGACTATTTGTGCGGGGCCGGGGCTAGCATTGCCAGGCGGAGAGTGAGGCTGCACGCTTTGGGTGGACTGGTTGGTTGGCTGGTTCGGTCACGGGTGGTGATGCACTCGAATCATGGATATTGATGATTATGGTGATGACGACGATGCGTATGTATCTACTCCGTAGGTACTGTACGTACCTTTTTTTTTCTTTGTCGAGGCAAGGCTTCGGTTAGCGGCATGCTGTCTGAAGGCAGACACTGTGGTGGCCTGCTTAGGCTAGATGCGTCACGGTCATGCTTCTGGGTTCTACTTGTGTGGTGCTGTTTGGGGGCAGGTACGGAGACTGTTCTTGTGTGCATAAATGCTGCAGCAGCGTTGCCGCGTGCTTTGTCATCAATGCACACTGTGCGGTTTTCCAGGGACATGCATGTCTCCTACCCAAACAACTCCTATCCCACCGAGCAAGGGGGTGTTGACACCGAGGTAGATTTATCTGTATGACCCTCTGTTTCACTATAAGTGAGCGGATACTAGGGTGACAGCCAGCGTCAAGGGGCTATTCCTGTGGTTGTTGCGAGAACAAAACCCATGTTTCACCGTATCTCATCTTGAGACGTACGTCTAAGATTTGTAACCTCCAGTGCTTATTGATGAACCCACCCAGACACCTCCTGCTAAGCAACACGGTGGCTTACCAGTTCCAGCTCAGCAAGAAAGAAATGAGCTGGGTGGGTAAGCCATCTCTCCTTCCGATGCCCGTATGCAAAAGTTGTTGTTGGATAGCCTCTTGCCAGGCAAAGACTTCTCATCCATCTTATCCTTTTTCTCGCTTCGACTGCCAATGGCACAGCAACCGAGCTCGCTTTCTCTCTGGTTCTGGGCCTAAACATGCCGTTTGACTCAGAGCATCTCCCAACCCGGTTGCAAGCATCCATGCTTTACCTGTCTGTTGTATGTCCAAGATCGAGAACGATCCGATCGGGCTTTGGGGGGGCCCTTTTGTATCATGATCATGGTTGCGGACGCAATGTATTTCCCGCTAATATGTCTACACGTGCACACGATGGTGAGCATACCCCTCTGGCTATGGCAGGAAGGGGTAAGAGTTTACGGCCAAGGTAGTTCTTGCGGGGGCCTGTGGCTTAGATCATTCCCTATGAGAATAGTGTGCAATATGACATGAACAAGATAGAGTTAGTTGGTCTAAATCATACTCCACATACAAGCTACAGTCAACAATACAATGAGAGCGGACCAAGAACTGATAGAACACAATAGAATCAAGAATTACTCTACACATTTCAATAAAAAAGAAAAGTGAGAGTATTGGAGAAAAAGAAGAGAAAACTTGATTTATGAACTGTTTCTGCGCCGGAACCTATAGACAAAACTGCCTCACTCACACTCTTTCAACCCCCTGTCTCTTCCTAATCATATCCAACCTCACTCCGGCAAACACCCTCTCACTCATAGTCCCTCAAGTACCGACCGGGCAAATCCACATCCCACATCGGTCGCTCCACTACGGCAACCTCAAGGAACCCTTCTCCCGCATCCTCGTTCTCTTCTTCTTCCGATGACGACGATAGCGCATCCCCGCTACCAGCGTGGTAGGTACTACCGCTCCCCAGGGGCACGATACCCAACAGATCACGGTACTTGTAGGTATGCCACCAGCGACGCGCGGGGAGGGTCTTGCTGATAGCGGACCCGTCCTCTGCGCTGCCGGAAGCCAGGACGATCTGCTTGCTCTGGGCGGAGGGCGAGTCGACGACGTCGTGGGCCGCGTTGGCGGCCAGCAACTTGTCCTGTCGACCGCCGAGCGAGACGCGCTTCATCGGGGTGCTGGTCTCGATGGCCTGGCGCTCGCGACGGAGTCGCGCCAAGGCGACCTCATTCCGGGCAGTGCGCTCCTCTTCGTCTTCTTCGTCCTCGTCCTCGTCCTCGTTGTGGCCACGCGGCCGGGATGCTACCCTTTCTAGAGAGATCTCCTCGGCGTTGTTGTCATCATTACCAACGATCTTGCGCATCTTGGTGCCGAAGAAGATGTCGGATTGGGCGAGGGACATGCGGTCTCCGGCACCGCTGTTGGGTTTCTTGGTGGTGCGGGCGGCGGTCGAGTCATCCTCGGTGGGGTCGCGTTTGCGTTTTTGGTTGTTGTTGTTGGTCGTGGTGAGTTGGGTATTTTGGTTCTTAGTGTTGTTCTTGTTCGGGGTGGAGGTCGTGTTGTTGGTGGAGGTGTTGGTGATGGCAGGGATGTCGGCGGCGGCGGTGAGTTCCTCGGGAGAAGGGAAGTCCTGGTTGAGATCGAACATCCATAGCCAGGAGGTGCCGTAGAGCCAGAGCCGTTCCCGGGTCTTGGACAGATCCCACACGCAGCCCATGGCGCGGTCCTTGACGCCCCGGAACTCGGCGGGGAGGAAGGCCTTGGGGTTGCGGCGCGACCAATCGGAGAGTTTGCCCTCCGCGGCGTCGAACTCGACGAGCTGGTGTTCGCTCGTCAGAGCCATGAGCCGGGTTTCGCTGCTGCCGCTCTTCGTCTTGTTATCGGCGTCGCCGTTGGTCAGAAGTTTGGTCTTAGCGAGGTTGGCCGGTCGGAAGGAGAGGAGGACAACGCCCGATTTGAGACGCGGGATCGGTGACTCGGCGGCCGCATACTTCCACCGCTCGCCTTCGATGACGGGCGATTCGTCTTCGTCGTCCGAATCCTCGTCGTCGGATCCAGCGCTGGGCTTCTTCTTCGAGGCCGCCTCGTCAGCTTGCTCCAGCACCCAGGTGTCGACACAGCCAGAAAGATCGCCCGAGGCGACAACGTTGCTATCGTGGGAGAACACAACGCAGCGGACCGTTCGCTCGTATTCACCGAGGGTGCCGTGGGAGGCTTTCTCAAAGCGAAGGTGGCGCGAAGCCCGGTTGAGCTTGACAAGCTGGGGCAGAATCTGGGGCTTTTCTTGGGCGGTAGGGGCGGGTTGGATTCGGGCAAGGTAGAGAGCGCTGTTGGGGCGAACGACACAGAGCCACCGGCTGTCGGGAGACACGGTCACCACGCGGGCTCCATCCTCTGCGAGCACTTGGGGCACATCCAACTTCTGGACTCGGAGAGTGCCCTTCTCGTCACCCTTGCGGCGACGCACGGCGAAGACCTTGATAGTAGAATTGGTGGCGACAACCAGAATCTTTCCATCCGCGGATAGCATGGCCGAGGTGATGTTTTCTTCGCCCTGCCATGCTGTTAGACACATAAAACCAGAAGGCTTGGACAAAGAGTCTTCGTTCGTACCTGAATCAAAACCTTGCCAACCAAGCGATGCCGTTGTCCGTCAGGAATCTCATGCGACACGGGGCCACGCAGCATGCGCCAGATGCTAACCTCGCGATCCCAGAAGCTCATGACCAGTCGGGACGAAGGCGACGAAGCAAGCTGGGGTATTTGAGGCAAGCTGGACAGCTTTCTGTGATGTTCCTTGCCGAACTCGCGCAGGGGAAGGACAACAGGGGCAGCGTCGGGTCCTGTTGCTCAATATTAGCCAACCAAGATACATAGCGAACAGAGCGATGGAAGGGGACAAAGCCTACCTCCAGACACGACGATACTAATATCTCTCGTCTCGTAGACAGCAAAGGTTTTGACATCATGCGTATGGTAGCGACGGTGCATGACCTCCACCCAGCGAGCCCTCTTGTCATTCTTCTCCCCATCCTTCTTCCGGTAGACGACCGTCCGCTGGTCGGCACCACCACTGACAACGGTATCTCCATTGGCGCTCACTGCGACATCCAACGTATCCGCCAGATGACCTTGTATCCGCTGGACAAGGGCGTAGTTCTTGGCATCCCAGAAGCGGATCTCACCCGCCGAATCGCCCGACACAATCGTCCCATCCGGGAGACACTTGACAGACCAGACGAGCAGCTCCTTCGTCCCGCCGGCGGGGCCCTTACCGAGCGAGATCGTGCGCAGCAGCTGGCCATTGCGAATATCAAAGAGGCGGATCGAGCTGTCCGCATACCCGGCCACAATCGTGTTCCGGTTCTGGAAGGTGACGCTGAGCACGCGCGACCGCTTGGTCGACGGGCGCATCAGCCGCAAGAACTGGAGCTCCCCCTCGGCGGTGGACAGGATCACGATCGACCCATCCGCGCAGCCGGCCGCCAGGTGCTGGCCCGTATACTCGCCTTCGGCGGGGCCGCTGGCCGCTCCCTTCCGCGACGAGGCCTGCCAGCGCGGCTGCGCCGCCAGACACCAGATCTCGCCGTAGTTGCCGCTCGAGTGGCGCAGCGGCCGCCCTTGCTCCAGATCCCACTCCGTCACCGCGGTCGAGTACCCGATGCTGAACAGGCGCAGCTTGCCCGGCAGCTTGGTGCCCTCCGGCCCGGGCTCCTGGGGGTCCTGCGTCCACACCAGGCCCTCGATGCTCCGGTCCTTGCCGCCCCGCAGCACCGTCTCCTGGAACCAGGCGCCGCGCAGCGGGTTCCAGATCTCGATGTCACCGTTGGCGCGTCCGATCGCCAGTCGCAGCGTCGGCACACCCCGGCCGGCGAGTTCGGCGGAAGGGGGGTGCGAGAAGGCGAGCGCATTGATCGCTTGCGGATTGTAGGGGACGAAACGACAGCGGTGGATATCCATGGTTGCGATTTCTTCTTGTTTCCCGGAAGTCTCTTCAAGGGTCGGTCTTTCTTTGCGGTATTGGGGAAGGTCTCGTTCTCAATATGCGTGTTCTTTCCTTCGCGATTCGTATAAAGCCTGCGACGCGGTGTTCCTTTCGTGGCTCGATTTCCGATCAAATTGGGGGGGGGGGGTCGCAGTAGAATTTGAGGAAGACGTAGGATTTCCTTTCTCTCGTTGATGTTATAAATAACGAAATCTGCCCGGCTCAACTTGTAGAGCCCGACCGCTTAAGCAATCATTTCCGGAAATGAACCGTATGGGGATTCTGTTCTGATTGAAAGGTGGAGGTCAGGTTGATGAGCCGGAGTCGAGACTTTTTTTTCGCTGGCGGCCCTTTGGGGAAATTTTTGGGATATGATTTTTAGCGCGGCCCGCGGAGGTTCCACCGGCGCCTTTGGGTCACGTGCATCGCTCGCGGTGCCGGAGCTGGGGCACGGTCACTAGCGCTCAGGTACAATGATTTTGGGAAGTAATATAAGAATGAGACTTGCTGAATGATAAAATGAGCTTGGGGCTCTCTCTATGTGGGGTTTAGGTGATGAAGCTTGCTTGTGTCGTGGTGGATATGTGTGGATATGTTGTGGTGAAGGTAACCGCTATAGACTACCGGAATGAGGTAGACCACTGATGCATCTTCAAGCTGCATTCTGAGCCAGCATAGTAATTTTGCTGGTCACCCATCGATGTATATCATTCTACATATTGTTGTAGACTGAAGGTCCCGTGCTCGCACGAGTAGGTAAAAGCTTGCTTGCCCGGTTGACTGAAGCGCTTGACACTACATACCGAGATACAGTTGAACTTGCTACTTCCACTATATAACTCATCGGGTATTTTTAAATCAAAGTATGCTTGTCAGATCAAAAAGATGTCGTCGACACGTTGACTGCCCTCACCTTACTCCATACAAAAAGGCTAC